AAAAAAAATACCAATCTAATGCATAAGTTAAGCTGTCACATCTCAAGAAGTGACGAAACACAGAAAAATATATAAAACGCTGATCAAATTCAAGAAGAAAAAATCATGAGCGACTATTCATGCAAACCCGAACCCTTCAGTACATTCGCGAACTGCCATTAGCAACATTTGGCGCAACCTTTCATATGACTCATACTGCGGAAGATCTAACTGATTAAAACTGAAATTTTTGGTAAAATAGTAAGCAGAGTGTAATATTGAAATACGTGAGTTCTAACGGATCAAAATGCAATTACCAAGTGTGAGCAGCAGGAAGGCGGTCGGGAGAACGGGAGTCCATATGTATTGAAAACTTCTGAACTCCATTCATTCCCTCTAGTGCACTGAAGCCTTGCAAAGGCACTTTACTTGTACCGGTAACAAACTGCAAAAATTTAGCACGGTCTTCTTGGTCAAAAGACCTCAACGCTTTCCAAAACCACTGTATCTGAAAACATTGAAAAATAAAACGTTGCATAAATTTAATGACCAGAAGATGATTTGAAAAATGCAGTGGAAAATATATCAAGAAATTAACAACCAAAGTTTCAGACCTGTGGAGAAGTTTTTGTATAGGTTTTGTACTCTGTATTGGCATAAAGGTCATCGACATCAATGTTTGGCAAACCACTAATTAAAAGCTCAAGTTCCTGCTCGTTAAACATTGAAATCAAATGCTTGGGTATCACATCGTAAAATCCTTCCAGAAATGCGTTCAACTGTTGTTGGATAGAACCTTAAAAGAAATGAGGATTCTCAGAAAAAAAAAAAAACAACTAGCAATCAAAGCTCAACGCTGCACAACCTTTCATCTTCATTTGACAAACCAGCTGGACATATTCCTCCTTATTCTCGTCCGTAACCTGTATACGAGCCCCATTCTCTTTCAGTTCACGCATTTTACAAACTCCAAATTCCTCTACCTCCACACTGAACGTGAGTTCCGTTCCAAAAGCTTCTACGGGATTGTTAAGCAAAAATTCTAGCGATTTGTAATAACTGGGGTCCTAAAAAACAAAATATTTCTAGCAAAACGGAGGTAGCTAAATTATTAAAAAAATTATGAACTCTACGCTTAAGTC